AAGAGTTTTAGTGACAATAAAAAATATTCTTATATCACATTATATTATTGGTTAATCGATTATTAGTTTTTTTATTAAGCTAAGGTAGTTATAAAATAATTTATTTTCTAAATACTCTCAATCATTTAACAATAAATGCTCAATCATTCTACTGGTGCTCGAACTTATAACATTTAGAAACAATGATGATTTTGTTGAGATAAATTGGTTTATACAATTTTCAATTATTAGTTTAATTCCTCTCTTTGTACGGTTGCTAATAAAACACCAATGTTTGTAAGTTTTTTAACTCAAAAAAGATTTGAATTTAAACTAATAATTATTGAATTAAATTTGAATTTAAAAATTTTGAGTTTATGAAAAACTACATACCGAACTCAAACCTGAGTTCTTATCTATGTTGCTCAAACCTGAATTCTTAAAGAATAACAACAATTCCATTACAACAAATGCTACTTTGATTCATGCAACATGAACATCTTTTGAGTCTAATTGAACTTTTTAATTTTAATATTTATCTCAAATCGTAAAAATTCATCATATGTATCTTAAGACTTCATTATTACCTTTAACCATCGTCATCATCGTCACTTTCATCTTCAACTTCCAGCCAACAAAACATGGACCAAATTACAAATCTCAACCTATTACCAACATTTTTCACCTAAATTTTAACTAAATCACTCTCGGGGTCCACCCACCACTACTATTATCTGCCACCAAACCTACCTCGTAGCTCGCTTGGCCTTTCATTTTCATCATCGTCGTGGCCTTATGGTGTCACTCACACACCATTTCCATTAACAAATGCTTTACTTTTCTTTGTCCAACTTCAGTTTCATCTTTTACTAGTTGGAAACACAGAACAGGGAAAGAAGTTGCAGTTTCAAGCTTTTCTACGTTTTAAATGTTAAAGTTTGTCCTTTGAGATTCGGGCTTAACTCGACCTAATAACTTGAGTTTTTTTACTACTTCAATTTAATTTGGGTTCAATATTTGACTCAAACTCGATCAAATATCAATTTTTTTAAATTTTTTTTTGAGTGCTCGAAATATCATTAAGCTACTTGAACTTCATTAAACTTGAACATGAGATATTCAAATGTTTTATTTAACAATTAAAGTACAATTATAATACATATTCAAATTTAGCAAAAGCCAATCAACAACATTATGAACTAGACTCTTATTTTTAAATCAAACAAGTAAAAGGCCACAATTCCTTAGGATTAAAAGTGTAAAAACTAACTTTCAAAAGTTTGGAGAGTATAGGGACTAAGGGCAGCAACAGACATTTTTAAATTAAATAATACTAAATTTTCATATATGCTCGATATGGATATTTTGTATTAAGCTATTAAAAGCCCGAATATATGGGTCTAAACCTAGCCTAGTTTTCCCTTTTCCCTAGCCTACAATTTCTTCAATACTTGGACCATCTACCTAGTTTTGTATTTATTCTAGTGCATTTTATATTTGCCTATATCTATATTTCATATTAAAGTTCAATATGTACTAATTATCTCTTACTGGTTATTTTTTATATTTATTAATAATTAATACATTTATTTATAAATATAAACTATGAATTAGAAAGTAGCAATATGAAAAACAACAACATTATTTATTAATATTATTTACTATCCAAACCCACTGGCAAATGCCCATTTACCCAAGCCCACCCAACTCCTTTATTCCCCAGCTCACCCTAATAATTTGCTTAAATAGCCTTTATTTACATTAACAATCTTTGGTATAATTTTGGGCAAAATTGTATTTTTAACCCCTTATATTTCAATAGATAGAACATATAACATATATTAGATGTTCATACATGCATACCAATTTTATTTTGAATCAAATTGTTTCTTATCTTACCTAGTTGATAAATAGTAAGCAAAATTATCATCTAATTTATGGGTCCACCATTTCCTTAATATTAATTACGTAATGGAATTCTTATCTAGAAGCTTGACATTTCATTATATATATATAAGATAAACACTAAATGAAAAGATAGAAATGATCATCCAGCTCAGTTGGTAGAGAACAATGTTCTTAAACTTGAGGTCGTGGGATCGAGTCACATGGAGGGTATTTCATAATTTGAAGGTCTCTTACGAAAGCTGCTCTCAACCTAGTGTTGGGGGCAGCCTACTATCTCACCTCCCCCTTACCCCATTACATATGGGAACAAGAGACAACCACTAAATGAAAAGATTAGCATGTTTATATATAAGAAAATAAAAAGATTAGCATGTTTATTATAAGCAACCCTTGATTAATCTCTTCCAATTACCGCTACACAAATGGAATATTCCTGTAGAAGATTTTGATGAAGTACCCTAATCTAACCATAGATTTGAACTACTCAAGGAAAACAAAATAATGCCTATGCCTAACTTATATCTATTTCCCTACTAACATTGTCTCATTTGACAGGGAACTTAAAAAGGAAAAGAAGACCCAAAACCACGACGTCTTTTTCTTCGCTATCAATTCATTTAGCCATTTACCACTCTAAGATCTTACAACTTTAAAAATGAAATCTTTATAATAATTACGTCAAAATAAATTCATGATATTAATTAAATATGTATCGTTTCGTTAAATACATGTATAAACCTACAAAAGTTATCATTTTATGATAATTAGCATTAATCATGCAACTTTAGGTGGTTAAGAGATTGTTGTTATCTCTTGAAGTCTCGAGTTTGACCACTACAAATATCAAAGGTATAAATGTTCATTGTCAAATGATTGAGAGCATTTAAACATATAATACCTTATATTTACTTCAAAATTATAAAAATATCTACAATCTTTTTTTTAATTTATTGTCAATGAAGTTAAACAACCCGCTAAAAAAGAGTAAAATGTTATATATATTACGTGTTTATTTGATAAAATATTGAAAATAGATGAAAATAATGTTATAATATTTATTTTTTTCAAAAGTTAAATTCATAAAATAATCTCAGTAATAAATGAGATCCTGAAGATTCTATATTTGAGTAAATACATCTGCAAACTTATGTTGAGCAAACTATTTAAATTGTTATCAATATTTAATATTTAATTTATCGATAATTCATATATTTATATGTACTAAAAATATATAAATACAATTTCTTTATAGTAGTATTTAATAGCTGTCAACATTACACATCAATACCTATATATAGATAGGCATTCTTCATAAAAAAATCGACTCGATCCAACCAATTATTGTTCAAATATGTTTTTATATTATATGGTCGTAAGAAGTCCAAATGTAGCATTGATGAGTCATCAAAAATCGAACCTTATCATATATTCAAATGGCCCAATACCCAAAATGGCATCCTAGAACATCCTTTACCCCCATTAACAATTTCTAAAGCATGCAATTAAGAAATGTTTAAGCCAACAAGGGTTCCACAATGATTGCAAGCCATTTTCAAGGATACAAAAGAGCATTATCCCCAATAGCTTTTTCGCTCATTCCAAAGATTATTATGCTTATTCCCAAATGTTAAGACATTAATTCCCACTTTTCCAGGTTTGAAAGATCAAAATGTTCTTAATATTATATATTGGATAAACTGCATATAACATTAAATTTTAAATTTTGTATCGAATTTTTTGTAGCATTAAAATTTTATTTTATTGTAATATGTGCATTGAGACATTCAAATCTAAATGGCGTCATGATGTAGATGAATTTTCTCATCATAACGATGGCATGGGTACTACTTTATTAGTATTATTTCAGCCACGTAAGATTCATTTAATTTTCAAGGTAAATTATATAAGATACTACTAAATTTTAGACGGTGTATCATTTATATCAATGCACTTTCAATTGCTCAAATCATAGTATTGAACTTTGATTTGACTTTAATTATACCATCGGACCGTTGATTTTAACGATGTGATGACATGACAAAAGGACATCGTTTTGGTATGACTATTGATGCCATAATAACATTTTAAATACTAATCCTAGCTTTTATATTGTGTTTAATGGGAGTCTTGTAGGCTACTTTAAGGGTGCTAGAGGAGTTAGGCAAGGTGACCCCCTCTCACCTTACCTTTTTGTCCTAGCAATGAATGTTTTGTCCAACTTGCTGAATACAACTGCTTTGAAGGGAATTTTCAAATTCCATCCTAAGTGCAGGAAGATAAGTCTAACCCATCTATGTTTTGTTGATGATCTCCTCATATTCTGTAAAGGTACTATAGATTCTGTAATTGGTGTGCAGTCTGTCTTAGATGTCTTTTACTCGCTATTGGGGTTGAAGCTTAATGCTAGCAAATGTGAAATGTATATTGTTGGTGTCCCTGCTAAACAGTGTGCTTTTATTCAAGAGGTTACTGCTTTAAATTTGGAGTACTCCCAGTGAGATACCTTGGAGTCCCTTTGGTGACAAGGAAGATTTCTGTCAATGACTGTTAAGGTCTGATCGGTAAGATTAGGGCCAAATTGAACTTATGGGCTAATAGACATTTAAGCTTTGCTGGTAGGCTGCAGCTTATTCAATCTGTCCTTTTTAGTATAGCCAACTTTTGGTGCAGACAGATGATCCTCCCTCAAGCTATAATTAAGAGAATTGAGCAGTTATGCTCTCGGCTCTTCTGGAAAGGGGATGACATGTCTTCTAACGGTGCTCGGGTTGGTTGGAGACAAATATTTTGATGAAATCTGAAGGGGGTCTGGGTATTATTGATTTAGGGGGCTAGAATAAAGCTTGTTTGGGGCTTTTGATTAAAAAGTTACTTGCTAATGAAGGCTCCTTGTGTGTGGCATGGATCCATTCGTATGTGATTAAAAATTTGGACTTATGGCAGATGAGTATCCCTCTAAATGAATGTTGGTGCTTCAGAAGAATTCTTAAAATGAGGCCTGATGTATCACATTTATTTGCTGGCCCTGGTTGCGACCTTAGCATTAGGAGTATATGGGAGGATTTATGCATACATGGTCTTAAGTTCCTTGGCACTTCAGAAGAATTCTTAAAATGAGGCCTGATGTATCACATTTATTTGCTGGCCCTGGTTGCGACCTTAGCATTAGGAGTATATGGGAGGATTTATGCATACATGGTCTTAAGGTTCCTTGGCACAAGTTGGTCTGGTTTCCAGGGCGTATCCCTAAACATAGCACCATTTTATGGATGACCATCTTAGATAGGCTCCCTACTCGGATGAGACTTCTACGAATGGGATTGAACATTGACAATGACAAATGCTTATTCTATGACACTGAGCATGAGTCTTGTAACCACTTACTTTTTGGATGTGGTTTTGCACAGGAATTATGGGGCAATGTTCTGTCTCTATGTGGGGTTAAACGCTGTGTGAGTGCATGGGATAAGGAGCTGGCATGGGCTTCTCAACTCCTCAAGGGAAAGACTTTCATTGTGCAAGTGCTAAAGTTGGCTCTAGCTGGCCATGTGTACAACATCTGGAGGGAGAGAAATAACAGGCTATTTGGGGGTAGAGGCAGAATGGTGGGAGATGCTGAATGACATCCGTGAAACCATTCAGATTCGACTAAGAGACTGGTCCATTAACAGGGCAGACCAGAGGAACGCTGCCCTCTGTGTTAGCTGGGGTATTTCGAGCTAGTGTGTTGTTTTGTTCTTGCTTTTCTGTTGAATCTAGTTGTGTTATTTTGTTGTTTATGTAATGCATTGTTTCTTGTAGCAGGTTCTCCTGCTTTCTTGGGTAATGAAATGGAATTATCAAAAAAAAAAAATTAAGGGTGTATCGGTTTTTCATTGAACTTTTAAATGGTTCACTTTTAGGCATTGCACTTTTCCAGCCGCCCATCATCTATCGTCATTCACAACAAGATTTGTATCGAACTGTTCGTATTTCACTCATCTATCTTCTCTTATATTTGATTTTCCACAGAACTTGCTCAAAATCAACTAAATTAAACAAAAAAGACATAATTTTTAAGGGTTTGGGGGCTTTCTTGAATTTGAGGGGTTTGAGTTGTTTGTTAAAAAAATCTAAACCATAAAAACATTATTTCAAGAAGACGAACAACATAACCTCAGCACTAAAATAAAATGAAAGTTTAGTGGTAAAGATGATACAAATCACAAAATTTAATGGTATATGGTGTAATTTATCCATATATATAAAGGTGCATACCTTCAAATTTCAAAACAATGAATCCATTCCATTTGTGTCTGGCCTTGAATAGTAGTACGCCTTTTTCTCTTCATATATGATTGACAACAAAGCAATGTAGTTAGATTCGTGTTTATGTATAATAAACTATTAACATTCTTTTTAACGGATGAATTAAAAATACTATTTATTTAAATATGTTTAAACTCATGTCTTATTACATGTTACAAGAGAATTAAAATTCAATGAACATTGTTATAGTTATATAATAATCATAACAAATCAATTAATGTTTGAAGTAACATATTAACTAATTATTCACAGACAATTGTGAGAAGGTATTGAGTAATAAAGAAATAATAATAATAAAAAAAGCACAATAGCTTGAGCTGTAAGCACCTATACATTTAACTCTTGTTCTAAATCGAGAGGATAATTAACAGAAGGATAATCAAAGAAAGAAAAACTCAACCAAAATTTTGATTCAAAGACCTCGCTTAGTGTTATAATGAGATCATCAATGAATTAAAAAAAACATGGAATCGACATGATTGAGGGAATATATAAGAGTAAGACTAGGAAGTTTATGAAGTGAAAGTAGTTGAAAACTTATTCGGAAATAATGGGTTGTAGAGCTCCAAAACAAGCATGGAAGAAAGGTCCATGGACTCCAGAAGAAGATAAGCTGTTGACTGAATATGTTAACTTTCATGGTGAAGGAAGATGGAGCTCAGTATCTAGGAGTTCAGGTGTGTGTATATATATATATATTGCAAATGTATTTTTGGGATCATTTAGCCGATTTATTTTGGATAATTAATATATATCAGGTTTGAGCAGGAGTGGGAAGAGTTGCAGGCTTAGGTGGGTGAACTATCTAAGGCCTGGTCTTAAGAGAGGTCATATTACACCTCAGGAGGAAGGGATCATTGCTGAATTGCATGCCCTTTGGGGTAACAAGTAATGCTGCTTCTTCTTCTTTTTTCTGTCTTGTTTTTGTTTGGTGTTTCTAACTGTGTGTGATATGAAACAGGAGGTCTACGATTGCTAGATACTTGCCAGGGAGAACCGACAATGAGATAAATAACTACTGGAGAACCAATTTTAAGAAGAAGGAAGGGTCCTCTCAGAAGTAACAAAAAAGAAAAGCTAAAATGCTAAAGCTCAAACAGCAGCCGCGACAAGTACGACCGGATAAAGATGAGACGGTAGTAGCTGGAGACGGTGGTCGGGCGACTGAGCATCAGGATCGATGCTTGTCTGTTATGTCTGAAGAGGCTACTTCTTTGTTAGATGAGTATTTGATGAATGAAGGGTTATAGTGGAACCAGCAGCTGCAGCAGGTGAACCATCCTTATTATCAGCATGCTGGTAATTGCAACAACATTAATATCGTCATGCAAACTCAACCAGCAGCTTATTGTTCTTACGGAGGGGATGCAAGTAATGTATACAATGGTGGAGGCTACATTCTCTAAGCATAGTTTTGGAACGTTTGGGGTTGTATTTCCCAGTCTAGATGAATATATATATGCACACTGTTAGGGTTATTTGGATTGGGGTTTCATGCAGTTTGAAAGCTTTTCTACTTTGTTTTTACTGAAGTTATAAACAATAAACACCAAGAGAAAATGCATTAGGAATAAATGAAAACAAATATTTTAAAAATAATATAACCTTGTGCCGCTGAGGGTACCTGTGGATTGAAATAAGTGGAGGATCCATTAAGAGTATTAGATCATCGATTAATCACTTATTTTATTGATGGTGTTCATCTTAAAATTTTATTGTGTCACCCTTAAATCTGAATTTTCTTCAATTAATGATTTATTTTATTGACGGTGTTCACTCTAAAATTTTATTTATATTTACATCATTCAAAAATTTTATATTGTTAACATATACGTGTCTATACTTAAAAATGTTTCTAAATCGCGACCGTTGAAATCCTAATATTTCAAGTATTACAATAAGCATTTATTAACTGTTTTTACATGCCGACTCTCCTATCATTTATCCATATATTTTTATCCCAAAAAAGTATTTTGAATCAATCACAATTAATACAATTTATATATATGAATATGTGATATAAAATTAAACATAACAAAATAATTACCAATTCCATAAATATCACTTATTTCATAAGTCTCGTATTGTTTTGAATAAAATTTTAAAGCAAGATACTATTTTGAATAACATTATAAAATATAAATCACTCAGTGTGCTATGAATGAGTTTATAACATGTGAAAACCGGACTGTCCCAAAAAATCAGTGTAGCGCCACAAAGCCCAAATGAAACGTATTATGCAGGAAACATTCAAGCCTAACTATCCTACTGAACAGATGCCTAAGCCCAGACATATATAAAACGATAGAAAGTTGAATAAAAACGTGAAAAAAAATTACAAATGACACATTCAGGTTTTGAACCTGATTTTTCAAGGGCCTAGTCCCATCAATAGTTATGTGCAATTTGGGTTTGGAATATGAATGTTCTTTTTTTTTGGTAAAAGGATGTGATATTAATTATTTTAAAAAAGATATTTAATATAAAAACCTTACAATATAGTAAGGGAGGAAGAGTGTTTTTTTAGTTGCATGCAGTTTCAAGGTTTCATCCTGACTAATCTGGATCAATCCGAGTCGCATACTTGATTTTAGCGGGTGAGTCTCCCAGCAGAGATTTTCTACATACACAATGACTCGAACTTGATACATTGCTTAAGTGATATCAAAATACTTACCGTTTGAACCAACCCCGTTGGTAAAAGAGGAAGAGTGTTAACAACATGGGCCAATACTGACTTTTCAAAATTAATCATATAGATATTGGTATTAACTAATTTAAGATTATTACATTAATTTTTTTAATATATATGATTACAAAATAAGATAAGAATATTGTTTGTCAAATGTTAAATTTAGATAAAACTCATGCACTTAAAGTTACATGAACTCGAATAGTCCAAATTTTTTTAACAGTGAGATCAATTTTGGAGTTAATGTTACATAAACTTATTAATCCTTAAAAGGGTTTTATTCTTTTAAAGCAACTTATAGAGAAACTAAAACATGTTTTTGAAAAAAAAATACCCTAAAAAATTACATGTCAGTAACCAATTGAAAAATAATGTCCGATCTAACACGAGAGAAAATAAGGCGCACCCGACGAAACGCCTTAGGGCTAAAATAACGGCACCCATGGAAGGCTCATTCCTTGGGGCGCACCTTACCGGAGTTTATTGACACCCCTGGAAGGCGCATCCCCTAGGGCGCACCTTCCTCCCTTCTCGCCCCGAATTTCTACATGTATTTCCCTCTTATATCCCCAATCAGCTACCTATATAAGCCTTTCCCCATCTCACATAAATCACACCAAAATTTTCATTTTTCCTATCCATTTCTTATATAAACTAATGTATAAGTATTTTAATAATTTTTCATTTATCAAAATTTTTATTATTTTAGTAATTAATTATTTTATTCAATATTTTGTATTTTTATTATTATTATTTTATTTAACATTTGATTATTTAATTGTAAATTTATTTAGTTAATATGTATTAATTGCAGTTAAAAAAATAGAAGGTGTGATGTTGCGATTAGATGTTGATCATATTTTGACTCATTTTGCTGATACGGTAAGAATACGAAACTAAATTCTTTTTAAATTTATGAATATTATGAAATTGAGTATATATTAATTAAATTATTTGAATTTATTTATTATAATTTATTTAAATAGTTTTAAAGTATTAATTAAAATGTTAATGGTTATAATTTATTTATTAGGAAACTGATCGAATATTAGAATTTTTTTATTCGCAACAAGAAGATGAAAGATGGAACTACCATTTGTGGTATGGAAAATGATGATTGGGGGGCTTATACAAGGAGTATCTTGGAAGTTGCCTGCCCAGTTTCAACAGTGACCGAATAACATTAGGGTGACCGAATAACATTAGGGTGACTGAAAAGTGAATTTAAATAGTTGTGCGAAAATTGTTCGGATGATGAGGCAAAAGCATTTTCCCAGACATATATACTACAGCTCATTGGACTTGGAGGTATATTGATGTTGAACAAATCTTGGATCCAGGTCCATTGTATGTGGTTGAGACACCTGATCGATTTTGAAGTAGTCGACATATTGAGTTAGGGTCTGCAGTGTTGGCATTTTTGTTTAGAGAAATGTGTCGGGCTATGAATTATAAGAAGGCTGCTATTGGGGGGTGTCACATGCTGCTCCAATCGTAGGCATGGTACCACATGCCTTTTTTGTCCCGTTCGTGAATAAGATAATTTTCTTTACGTTACTATCAAGATATCAATACTAAATTTATTTTTAAATAATATTTTCAATTATTATAGAATGACATATA